ATGAAGGAAATATTCATTTCACGACAAAAACAAAAAAGTAAAAATTGTAATGTTTTGAAGAAAACCCTTTCTAAACATAATCTGTAAACCTGTTCTTGCTGCCTTTGTAACATTCTTAGTCTCACAGTTTCACCTGAAAGAAAATTCTCCAAATCATAAATATTACAAAACAGTTTACTAAAATAATCACTGAACCTGCTAGAGTGAAACAAAAGTACATCACAAAGACATCTGTAATTAAGGTAAAGAAAAAGTTCAACTAAAAGTTTGTTGATCCTTTCTTCAGAAATCTGATGTCACATTGCTAATTAGGAGTGACAGGATGAGTTCAATTCTGTTCACTTGTATTATTAACTTTTACACTACAGAATGTAATAAAATGCATTTCTTCGATAAAATGGAGGTTCAGAAAAAGTAAAGATAAAATTACCTCTGGGTGTATCACACTAAAAATTCTTCTTCCCTATCTGAAGATCCTTGATAATTTCATATCAGAAGAGGGCAAGTCATGAATTTTTCAACAGTAGTAGTAGTAGTGACATTACAAACCACTTCTTACTCTCCGAAGTATACTTCGGGCCTTTCCAGTGACTGCTGGAATACGCCTCTAAGTACAGTTACAAATTTGACTTTGCCATTTACCAGCTGTGTAAATTGGGCAAGTTACTTGTTTCCTTATGAAGTCTCAGATTTCTGAAGTAAAAAACTGAGGTTTTTAATATGCTCTGGGTTGGTGGGAGGATTATATCAGATAACATATAAAATTCAAAGCATGGTGCAAGAACGAAATAGGTGCCAAAATGAATAGCTGATCATTTTCTCAATTATTTCAGAAATATTTAGCAAATGCCTACTAAGTACCAGGCACTGCTCTAGGCACTGGGATATAGCAATGAACAAATAATCTTCCTGAGATTTACATTCTAATCAATTATTAATATGACTATTATTTATAATTTACAAGGTAAGGAAAAGAGGGCAACTAACTAGATTTATGAAGCATTACAATGACCTTATTAAAGAACATACCCAAATCAGTTAATCACACATGTAAAATATACCTGCCCATATATAACCCAATACACACCACGAAAGCACGAGAAGGAAAAGGACAGAATTTACTTGTTATTATTTTTTTATATTTATTTTTTTCTCCAGCTTTATTGAGATATAATCAACATAAGCATTATGCAAGTTTAAGGTGTACAATGTGAAGGACTGGAATTTACTTATGAAATTTTTATGAATGAAATCACTGTCTGGGAAAGCAGAGGTGCCACAATTCATCTCTATAACCTAAGGTTCTCTTTATGAGAAACCAGTCTGTACTTGAAAATGACAGCTCTGGAAAGAAAATCTCAAGTTATCCTATTTAAAAAGATATAAACATTACCTTTTAAGCATTTGAGAGTTTCTGTGCTGCATACATCCACCCTCATAGTTGACAGTTGTTTTTCCTTCAATTCTATCTGATCTTCTGAGCGCTTGTATAGCAACAGCTCTTCAATGAGAGCCTGAGACTGAACACAGACCAGTGTCATATTTCATTTATGAGATCATTATTTATTCTAGCTTTCTTTGTTAAAATTAAACATGACTAAAACCTAAAAAAACTGTGAGAGGAAAAACACCCTACATATTTCCTCATGAAATTAAGGATATCGATAAAATTTCTCATGTCAAAACCATTATTTTCAGTTATATACTTTAAAAGATCCTTTCCTGAATTATTCAAAGCTAATTTATGGATATGGGGTAAGACTGAAAAGGTCCATTTGTATCTTCTTTAAATTTTCACTAGATAAACACAGTCTTCTTATATTTAACTGTTAGCAAATTCTAATTTAGTAGAGCTTCATAGAAAGATGAACCCCTTGTTGGGAGTTTAGTACAAAACTCAGCTGGTAACAGATACTCTGGAAGGTTATTTTTCCATTAGGGGAACAGATAAAACTCCAAGTAATCTGATCACAATCTAGATTCCTTTAGAACAGTTCAAATATGTTTAAAATATAATTTATGTACAACTGAATAAAAAAATCCTACTGGACTATACTGGGAACTGTAACACAAATGGGGTGAAAAATGCTTTAACATATTAAACATATTCTGTAACTTACTCGAAATTCAGCAACTATTTTAGACTTGAGAGCAGCTTTTGGATTCATGGATGCTGTTGGAATTAAACAAAAGGTCACTGAGAATACAGACAGAAAAAGCTGACAAATATTCAGAAAAGTTTTCAGCTCTACAGTTAAGGGTATACTCTTTGAACATACATCAAACATGCACATTTAAATCGTAATTCCTAAATAGTGGAATACAAATTCAAAACAGTCCCAGGCACTGTCAATATATACTGTCTAGATAGGTCTAACCTACTTACCTCCAACAGACCCTTTAAATCATAAAGTCCTAGAGTACTGATTTGGAGATAGTGAGATACATACAGTATCTTTTTTCCTAGTCTGACTGAGTATAAGATCTCAATACTTCAAATTAAGAGTGTTCAAGAGCAGGATATCCAATTAATCCTGAGCAATAGCTGAAGAAAATTAGAAACATCAACTCTATTCCTATGAATTTAGCTTTAGATTTCTTTTTCTGCTAACTCAATTCACAGCAAAAATAGACAGGGAAAGTTCTAAGTACATGACAACTGTGGCTGAACTTTGGCTGAAATGATGACTCTTGTTGTTCATAGGCATGCATGCAACTTACAACCGAAAAGATGTCAGAGGACTCCCTTAATCATGACAAACATCATATGCTTGCTGGAGTAAAACCATCCCAAGTGTCTTGTTTCACCTCCCAATTCTGTCTTTTACCTTGCTCCCTCCACACCACCAAGTCTCTCAATATTCCTCAGTTTGGCCCACAGTGACCTATTACATGCAGTATTCCACTCATGTAAACACGCTGATCTCATGCTGGGTAAACACGATAAACACAGCACGAGTTCCTGTTACAGACTGAGTTTCTGGCCATGATTTGAGGCCCATGTCTAATCTGGCAGAGTACAACCCCACATCTGAAGGATTTCATGGCTCCCACAGAAATGCTTCTCAATGCCCAGTCTCCTCTTCAGCTCTGCATATGTTTACTGCCAGCTGCTCTAACCTCATGTATCTTTGAACCTGAGAGCAAGCCTGGGCACTAGGCTGTTTGTTTTTTTCTTCTTTCAATCCCCCAACTATTCTTGAATCTTTACTCACTTAAACCCTTTTTCTGCATTTCCTTTGTTTAAAAGTAGTTCTTTTTTTTTTTTTTTTAAAGAAGTTAACTCCATGATGGCTTATTTGGCTTATTTAGTATAAGTCACTGGGAGCCTCCCAGGCCTGGAAAACACAGGTCTGCCTATGGTTTATGCCAGGTACAAAGTTAAACGGTCTACATTTTCTTCTGCTCCAAAAAGAGGAGGTTATTTCATATTAGGTGAGATTTTGTTCCTTACTTTGTGATTTCTTCCAAACTAAAGATAATGGAGTAATTCCTCCTAAGCTGTGAAGGAAAATGATTTCAACCACCAAGTCATTAAAGCAAATGTGAAAAAAGGATAAAGACATTTTTAGATATAAGGACTGAGAAAATTTATCTCTGTGCAAACTTTTTTTTGTAAACTGAGGATGTACTCCAGCAAAACAGGAGACAACCAAGAAAAGAAGAATCTTAAAAATAGAGGGCTCAACTCAGAATGTTAGTGAAGAGCAGTCCTTGGATATGATCTAGATACCTAAAACAGGACAAATGAATTCAGTCAGGTACGGAGGTCACTGGAGGAAAAGGTAGATTCAGTGTATCTAATGTGAGAGAATTTAGAAGAAAAAAAAAAGAGGCTATAAGAAGGCAAACAACACACACAAAAAAATCTCTAACATAACTATAGTTACCATAAGACCTTGCAGTGAACAATGCTTACACAATTATAAGCTTTGTTTATTAATTTTCAGCCTTTAGAGCAGGAAGTAAGATTTAATTATGATTATAGACTAGAATGTAAATATTAAACCTTGAAAATGTAAAAGTATAGTTAAGAAACTGAAGGGACAGATGAAAACTAATGGGAAAGGATAGGGAAATTAATGTACTCATTTACAACGTGGGGAGTCTACAGTTAGTGGTCAAAAAATAGTAAATATAGTATTTCAATTTACAAAGGTAAACCTGTTATTTGATATTGGAAGAAGGGGGAGGAAGGCAGGTGAGCATACACTAAATCCTCATTCGTTATACCAAGAAGTTAGTAGATATTTCTTAAATAGCACATATCAGAAAATAATAATACATATTCAGAAATATGAAGGCAAATGCCAGGAAAAAAAAAGCTAAATGAGTTAAGAGATTGCTTCTAGGAAGTGGGAATGGTGGGTCTATACTACCATATGCTTTTATGACCATATACAGTGATTAAAACTATAAAAAAATTTAGTATAAAATGGACAGTTTTATTTGAAATCTTCACAATACCATTACACTGGATTTATAATCAATAACATCTTCTATAAAATAACAGCAAAAAAAAAAAAGGACAGTTTCTTTTAGAGGCCATTAGACAAATGTCCAATTATCAACCCCTCTTCCAGTGGAGGTAGAGACAAAGAGTCCTTAATTCAGTTATTGAAATTTAGTAACAGAATGTTTCCATATAATTTCCTGGTTAAAAAAATATATATACATACTTCTACCCAATTTTATATCCTGTATGTAAGAGTAACTTGGCATACTCCCTTTGAAATGCTGACATAAGTCTTTAGTTTACAGTTTAATCATCAGGGTATCCTTAAGCTTTAGCATCAGAAAGGACCAAGTCTTAATTTAGACTCCTTCACTTGATAGCTGTATTACCACGTACAAGGTTACTAACCCCCTTCAAAAGTAACTTCATCTGTGAATTGCAGATCATAATGCTTATCCTCATATAGTTAGATAACACACATCAACAGTCACTAATATATAATGTAGTAAGCAATTGTTGCAAGATAGCTTTGATTATTACTTACATTGGCCACCACCTTTACTTCTTTGTATTGTGCTTCATAGAAAATTCCAGCATTTTCCAGTGCTTCTGTTAGTGAGGGCCCATTTTTCACTTGCTTATCTAATCCATTCACAAATTCTTCTAGCTTGGAACTTGCCTCTTCAAATTCTTTGGAGAACTTCTTCCCACCTGTCTTATCTAAAATAATGAAGGAAATATTCATTTCACGACAAAAACAAAAAAGTAAAAATTGTAATGTTTTGAAGAAAACCCTTTCTAAACATAATCTGTAAACCTGTTCTTGCTGCCTTTGTAACATTCTTAGTCTCACAGTTTCACCTGAAAGAAAATTCTCCAAATCATAAATATTACAAAACAGTTTACTAAAATAATCACTGAACCTGCTAGAGTGAAACAAAAGTACATCACAAAGACATCTGTAATTAAGGTAAAGAAAAAGTTCAACTAAAAGTTTGTTGATCCTTTCTTCAGAAATCTGATGTCACATTGCTAATTAGGAGTGACAGGATGAGTTCAATTCTGTTCACTTGTATTATTAACTTTTACACTACAGAATGTAATAAAATGCATTTCTTCGATAAAATGGAGGTTCAGAAAAAGTAAAGATAAAATTACCTCTGGGTGTATCACACTAAAAATTCTTCTTCCCTATCTGAAGATCCTTGATAATTTCATATCAGAAGAGGGCAAGTCATGAATTTTTCAACAGTAGTAGTAGTAGTGACATTACAAACCACTTCTTACTCTCCGAAGTATACTTCGGGCCTTTCCAGTGACTGCTGGAATACGCCTCTAAGTACAGTTACAAATTTGACTTTGCCATTTACCAGCTGTGTAAATTGGGCAAGTTACTTGTTTCCTTATGAAGTCTCAGATTTCTGAAGTAAAAAACTGAGGTTTTTAATATGCTCTGGGTTGGTGGGAGGATTATATCAGATAACATATAAAATTCAAAGCATGGTGCAAGAACGAAATAGGTGCCAAAATGAATAGCTGATCATTTTCTCAATTATTTCAGAAATATTTAGCAAATGCCTACTAAGTACCAGGCACTGCTCTAGGCACTGGGATATAGCAATGAACAAATAATCTTCCTGAGATTTACATTCTAATCAATTATTAATATGACTATTATTTATAATTTACAAGGTAAGGAAAAGAGGGCAACTAACTAGATTTATGAAGCATTACAATGACCTTATTAAAGAACATACCCAAATCAGTTAATCACACATGTAAAATATACCTGCCCATATATAACCCAATACACACCACGAAAGCACGAGAAGGAAAAGGACAGAATTTACTTGTTATTATTTTTTTATATTTATTTTTTTCTCCAGCTTTATTGAGATATAATCAACATAAGCATTATGCAAGTTTAAGGTGTACAATGTGAAGGACTGGAATTTACTTATGAAATTTTTATGAATGAAATCACTGTCTGGGAAAGCAGAGGTGCCACAATTCATCTCTATAACCTAAGGTTCTCTTTATGAGAAACCAGTCTGTACTTGAAAATGACAGCTCTGGAAAGAAAATCTCAAGTTATCCTATTTAAAAAGATATAAACATTACCTTTTAAGCATTTGAGAGTTTCTGTGCTGCATACATCCACCCTCATAGTTGACAGTTGTTTTTCCTTCAATTCTATCTGATCTTCTGAGCGCTTGTATAGCAACAGCTCTTCAATGAGAGCCTGAGACTGAACACAGACCAGTGTCATATTTCATTTATGAGATCATTATTTATTCTAGCTTTCTTTGTTAAAATTAAACATGACTAAAACCTAAAAAAACTGTGAGAGGAAAAACACCCTACATATTTCCTCATGAAATTAAGGATATCGATAAAATTTCTCATGTCAAAACCATTATTTTCAGTTATATACTTTAAAAGATCCTTTCCTGAATTATTCAAAGCTAATTTATGGATATGGGGTAAGACTGAAAAGGTCCATTTGTATCTTCTTTAAATTTTCACTAGATAAACACAGTCTTCTTATATTTAACTGTTAGCAAATTCTAATTTAGTAGAGCTTCATAGAAAGATGAACCCCTTGTTGGGAGTTTAGTACAAAACTCAGCTGGTAACAGATACTCTGGAAGGTTATTTTTCCATTAGGGGAACAGATAAAACTCCAAGTAATCTGATCACAATCTAGATTCCTTTAGAACAGTTCAAATATGTTTAAAATATAATTTATGTACAACTGAATAAAAAAATCCTACTGGACTATACTGGGAACTGTAACACAAATGGGGTGAAAAATGCTTTAACATATTAAACATATTCTGTAACTTACTCGAAATTCAGCAACTATTTTAGACTTGAGAGCAGCTTTTGGATTCATGGATGCTGTTGGAATTAAACAAAAGGTCACTGAGAATACAGACAGAAAAAGCTGACAAATATTCAGAAAAGTTTTCAGCTCTACAGTTAAGGGTATACTCTTTGAACATACATCAAACATGCACATTTAAATCGTAATTCCTAAATAGTGGAATACAAATTCAAAACAGTCCCAGGCACTGTCAATATATACTGTCTAGATAGGTCTAACCTACTTACCTCCAACAGACCCTTTAAATCATAAAGTCCTAGAGTACTGATTTGGAGAAGTGAGATACATACAGTATCTTTTTTCCTAGTCTGACTGAGTATAAGATCTCAATACTTCAAATTAAGAGTGTTCAAGAGCAGGATATCCAATTAATCCTGAGCAATAGCTGAAGAAAATTAGAAACATCAACTCTATTCCTATGAATTTAGCTTTAGATTTCTTTTTCTGCTAACTCAATTCACAGCAAAAATAGACAGGGAAAGTTCTAAGTACATGACAACTGTGGCTGAACTTTGGCTGAAATGATGACTCTTGTTGTTCATAGGCATGCATGCAACTTACAACCGAAAAGATGTCAGAGGACTCCCTTAATCATGACAAACATCATATGCTTGCTGGAGTAAAACCATCCCAAGTGTCTTGTTTCACCTCCCAATTCTGTCTTTTACCTTGCTCCCTCCACACCACCAAGTCTCTCAATATTCCTCAGTTTGGCCCACAGTGACCTATTACATGCAGTATTCCACTCATGTAAACACGCTGATCTCATGCTGGGTAAACACGATAAACACAGCACGAGTTCCTGTTACAGACTGAGTTTCTGGCCATGATTTGAGGCCCATGTCTAATCTGGCAGAGTACAACCCCACATCTGAAGGATTTCATGGCTCCCACAGAAATGCTTCTCAATGCCCAGTCTCCTCTTCAGCTCTGCATATGTTTACTGCCAGCTGCTCTAACCTCATGTATCTTTGAACCTGAGAGCAAGCCTGGGCACTAGGCTGTTTGTTTTTTTCTTCTTTCAATCCCCCAACTATTCTTGAATCTTTACTCACTTAAACCCTTTTTCTGCATTTCCTTTGTTTAAAAGTAGTTCTTTTTTTTTTTTTTTTAAAGAAGTTAACTCCATGATGGCTTATTTGGCTTATTTAGTATAAGTCACTGGGAGCCTCCCAGGCCTGGAAAACACAGGTCTGCCTATGGTTTATGCCAGGTACAAAGTTAAACGGTCTACATTTTCTTCTGCTCCAAAAAGAGGAGGTTATTTCATATTAGGTGAGATTTTGTTCCTTACTTTGTGATTTCTTCCACTGCTTATTCGGTTGTTTGTTCAGATTTTCTTTCAGCTGCTTCTGAGTTTTGAAAGTAGTACCTGGAAAACATTTCAGTTTTTGCAATCTGGTATTATGGGAAGATGTTCCGTATGTCCACTTCAGTGTCAAAAGTTGCAGCATGAAAAAAGGCAATCCAAGACTGTGTGTTGTTTCTTTCTTTCCTTTTCTTTCATTTTTATTAAAAAAAATAAAAACACCCACCAGATCTAAGAAGCTGTCAAATAAAGATGATTTCTATAATTAATGAAGCTACTGATTTTGAGAATAGGACAGGAAGCTTAAAAAATACCAGTCAACATATTCAAATGAAGAATTTAACAGCTTCTTAGAAGATGTTATTCTTAAAGCAAATTTCTAGTCAAATCATGGTATCAGATATCACCATTTCTACTCAATGGCTTAATTACATGCATCTATTACATGGAACGAGATAACTTTTAAAAAACAGGTGTACAACTTACTGCAAATCTATACCAGAATAGAGACTGAAGAATGCCAATATATACTTACTATCAAAATAGCTTAGTGAAAACTGAAACCCTGTCCAAAAAGTCTCCAACAGTAAGAAGACAGGGCAATATTTATTAGACACAAAAAATGAACAATTTAAAACATTCAATTAAAGTAAAGGCAGGAAAGTAATCAGATGGCCATAATCACTTTAAATATGCTTGACCTTCTGTAATTGATAAACAAAATCCAACCCTCCCAAAACCAATTCTACTTAAATGTTAATTCAAGCAGATTTTTCTAAGTATTTAAACGGGGCCAGATCCAAAACTTTATCTTTCGTTATTAAGCAATAGGACCACATCTATAAAATTTACATAACTTTAGAACAATGAGTCAAATCTTTCTTTTAGGAGAGAAAAGACACTTACTCAAAGCTTCTCTCAATGCCATAATCATTTCTTCTGGGTATACATTTCTGTCTTCCCAGATTTTAAAGATTCGTTCTACAGACTTAGAGACAGATGGATCCCTGAAGAGAAAGAAAAAGACAGACATACAAAAATGTTAACTTATATCTAAATCTAGAAATCTGAAAATAAAGTTGTCAACAAAATTATTTTCCAAATATCTTCTGATGTTTATTTTAACAACATTTTTTTTCTAGTGTCTAGGACTAAAATCCAACACTCTTATTCAATATTTCTTATTAATGACATACACGAAGCTTTGGATGACATAATGAACTTTCTGATGTACATGAAGTTGAGAGAGCTAATCAATGTGCTCATTAACTGGCATCCCAAAAGGTAGGTTGTATTTAGTAAGATGAAATCTAGCAAGGAAGAACCTGGTCCAAAAAACAAATTGTACTGGTTCAGAATTAGAAGACAATGTTTAGCAATGCTATAACGTTTGCTTTTTCTTAAAGGTTTGCTGTAATAATGAATCAATCACACGCTGTAACATGTTTTCCAAAAAGCTATCAACTAATACTGCAAGAATACATATCTAGATGAGGGAGGTGAGGAGTATCACTTTACTGTTTGCCTCCCAATGGGCTTCTGTGTCAGGTTGGCCATCTTACTTAGGAAGAAAAGTGTTAAAGTAGAAGTGCTTGACAAGTAATTATGAGGGAGCAAAAATTAAAATCATGTCTTATGTGGAACTGTAAAAGAAATAGAAAAACAATTTCAGGAATGCATAACTGCTATAAAGAGGAGGAACCAAACCATGGTTCTGTGTGATCCCAGGAGGCAAAACAAGGACATGGGCGTGAAGTCAAAGGGAAATAAATTTCATTCTAACAGACCCACCAAAGAACTGGTGACATTTCTAACATTAACAGATGTGTCAAAAGACAAAAAGGGAAAGAAAAAGAAAAAAACTCAGGAACTTAACCTCTCCCCAAGTGAATCCAAACCCATATGGAAACTGGAGATAAAAAACTGAGCTATGTCAACTTTTTGGCACCTTTCAGAATCTATGACTCCATAACATCATGTGTTCACAAGGGACTTTTTTTTTCTTTTGCCTAATAACAGCACGTACAGACAACAGAGAAAATTGTATTAATCTTCTGGAAAACTGTATTTTCTAGAGACTTACGGAGCCACAGTGGACAGCCTTTTCTTCTTTCTTTTCCTACTTTTATGTTGATAGCATTCTTCTCATTATAAGAATATGTATATAGTTACATACAGAAGTACAAAACCATAAACAGTATTTATTATATTTATAGTATAGTATATATTGTATTTACGTCATATGTCATTAACACTATACTTAAGTATGTTATATATAAATATATATGCTATAAATACTATAGTACAAAATTGTTTCTATAACACTGAAAAAATTATAAGTATTAAAAAAACTGCCCTCATTTTCAGCAACATAGATTTATAGTGCACCATTTTCAGCATTACTATCCTCTAGTCCTTTTTTTTCCTAAGATGCTAATATTTTTCTCAAACAAGGTTTACATTGGTGTGTGCAAACATAATTGTATTTTTTTTTCAATTAACCAAACAAGCATTTTCCAATGTTTCAATCAACTCTTTGTAAACATTACACTTGATGACTGTTTCAAAACTTTACTACATGCCTACTGCTGGATATTACTGCTTCTTCTAGATTTGTTACAATAATTAATGCTGTTATGAATATCTTTTGGTCAAAGACTCTTAATAAAGAAATGCTTTCTGAGAGGGTTGTACCAATCTATACCCCAACCATGAGTATGAGTATACTTCTGTACCAATGGTTGTTTTCACTTCAATTTGTATTTGTAATCTCAGTTTAACCATTTCCCTGTTTTAAAATCTCTACTATAAAAAGTTTCAAACATATTTAAAAGTGAAATGATACAGATGCAAGAACTTACGATTTTGCCACATTTTCTAAATCTTTCTGCTTTGAAGTATTTTAAAGCGAATCAGGTATGTTCCTTATCTTAACTCTTTTTTAACATTTTGCTATGGAACTATAGTGCTACTATACTACCTAACAATTTTTTTTTAAATTTTGGTATCACTAATGTACAATTACACGAGCAACATTAAGGTTACTAGACTCCCCCCACTACCAAGTCCCCTCCACACACCCCATTACAGTCACTGTCCTTCAGTGTACTAAGATGCTATAGAATCACTACTTGTCTTCTCTGTGTTGTACTGCCTTCCCAGGGCACACGCCCCCATTATGTGTGCTAATCAAAATGCCACCCTTTTCCCCCTTACACTCCCTTCCCACCCATCCTCGCTAGTTCCTTTCCCTTTGATAACTGTTAGTCCATTCATGGGTTCTGTGAGCCTGCTACTGTTTTGTTACTTCAGTTTTTTCTTTGTTCTTATACTCCATAGATGAGTGAAATTATTAGATACTTGTCTTTCTACGCCTGGCTTATTTCACTGAGCATAAAACCCTCTAGCTCCATCCATGTTGTTGCATATGGTAGGATTTATTTTCTTCTTATGGCTGAATAATATTCCATTGTGTGTATGTACCACATCTTCTTTATCCATTCATTTACTGATGGACACTTAGGTTGCTTCCATTTCTTGGCGATTGTAAATAGTGCTGCCGTAAACATTGGGGTGAATCTGTCTTTTTCAAACTGGGAAATTCCTAGAAGTGGAATTCCTGGGTCAAATGGTATTTCTATTTTGAACTTTTTGAGGAACCTCTATACTGCTTTCCACAATGGCTGAACTAATTTACATTCCCACCAGCAGTGTAGGAGGGTTCCCCTTTCTCTACAACCTCACCAACATTTGTTGTTCTTTGTCTTTTGGATGGTGGCCATCCTAACTGGTGTGAAGTGATATCTCATTGTGGTTTTAATTTGCATTTCTCTGATGATTAGTGATGTGGAGCATCTTTTCATGTGCCTGTTGGCCATATGAATTTCTTCTTCGGAGAACTGTCTGTTCAGATCCTCTGCCCATTTTTTAATTGGCTTATTTGCTTTTTGTTTGTTGAGGTGCTTGAGCTCTTTATATATTTTGGATGTCAACCCCTTATCAGATGTCATTTATGAATACATTCTCCCATACTGTAGGATGCCTTTTTGTTATATTGGTGGTGTCCTTTGCTGTACAGAAGCTTTTCGGCTTGAAATGGCCCCAATTGTTCACTTTTGCTTTTGTTTCTCTTGCCCAGGGAGATATATTCATAAAGAAGTTGCTCATGTTTATGTCTAAGAGATTTTTGCCTATGTTTTTTTCTAAGAGTTTTATGGTTTCATGACTTACATTCAGGTCTTTGATCCATTTTGAATTTACTTTTGTGTATGGGGTCAGACAATGATCCATTGTCATTCTCTCACATGTAGCTGTCCAGCTTTGCCAACACTAGCTGTTGAAGAGGCTGTCCTTTCCCCATTTTATATCCATGGCTCCTTTATCGTATATTAATTGACCATATATGTTTGGGTTAATATCTGGACTCTCTATTCTGTTGCACTGGTCTATGGGTCTGTTCTTGCGCCAGTACCAAACTGTCTTGATTACTGTGGCTTTCTAGTAGAGCATGAAGTTGGGAAGTGAGATCCCCCCTGCTTTATTCTTCCTTCTCATGATTGCTTTGGCTATTTGGGGTCTTTCGTAGTTCCATATGAATTTTAGAACTATTTGTTACAGTTCACTGTTGGTATTTTGACAGGGATTGCATTGAATCTGTAGATTGCTTTAGGCAGGATGGCCTTTTTGACGATATTAATTCTTCCTAGCCGAGAGCATGGGATGAATTTCCATTTGTTGGTGTCCTCTTTAATTTCTCTTAAGAGTGTCTTGTAATTTTCAGAGTATAGGTCTTTCACTTCCTTGGTTAGGTTTATTCCTAGGTATTTTATTCTTTTTGATGGAATTGTTTTCCTGATTTCTCTTTTTACTAGTCCATTGTTAGTGTATAGGAATGCAACAGATTTCTGTGTATTAATTTTGTATCCTGTAACTTTGCTGAATTCAGATATTAGATCTAGTAGTTTTGGAGTGGATTCTTTAGGGATTTTTATATACTATCATGTCATCTGCAAACAGTGACAGTTTGGCTTCTTCTTTACCAATCTGGATGCCTTGTACTTCTTTGTTTTGTCTGATTGCTGTGGCTAGGACCTCCAGTATGCTATGTTGAATAAAAGCAGTGAGAGTGGGCATCCCTGTCTTGTTCCCGATATTAGGGAAAAAGCTTTCAGCTTCTTGCTGTTAAGTATGATGTTGGCTGTGGATTTTGTCCTATATGGTCTTTTTTATGTTGAGGTACTTGCCCTCTACACTCATTTTGTTGAGAGTTTTTATCATGAATGCATGTTGAATTTTGTCATGCCTTTTCAGCATCTATGGATATGATCACGTGATTTTTGTCCTTCTTTTTGTTGATTTGGTGTATGATGTTGATGGATTTTCAAATACTGCACCATCCTTGTATCCCTGGAATAAATCCTACTTGATCATGATGGATGATCTTTTTATTTATTTTTGAATTTGGTTTGCTAATTATTTTGTTGAGTATTTTTGTGTCTATGTTCATCAGGGATATTGGTCTGTAATTTTCTTTTTTTGTGGTGTCTTTGCCTGGTTTTGGTATTAGAGTGATACCGGTCTCATAGAATGAGTTTGGAAGTATTCCCTCCTCTCCTTTTTGGAAAACGTTGAGGTTGGGTATTAGGTATTCTTTAAATGTTTGATGAAATTCAGCAGTGAAACCGTCTGGTCCAGGAGTTTTATTCTTAGGTAGTTTTTTGATTACCTATTCAATTTAAGTGCTGTTAATTGGTCTGTTCAGATTTTCTGTTTCTTCATGGGTCAATCTTGGAAAGTTGTCTTTTCCTAGAAAGTTGTCCATTTCTTCTAGGTTATCCAATTTGCTGTCATATAATTTTTCATAGTATTCTCTAAGAATTCTTTGTATTTCTGTGTTGTTTGTTGATAGTGATTTTTCCTTTCTTATTTCTGATTCTGTTTGTGTGTGTAGACTCTTTTTCTTGATAAGTCTGGCTAGAGGTTTACCTATTTTATTTATTTTCTTGAA